CAGAACGGGGCCCGATGTACCAGAAATGAAATTGGTCAGAACTTGGTCAGCAGAGCAACCTGCTGCAGAGCACACGCTCGTTATGTCAACGGTGCTAGGTCTTCAAGACTTGAGGAGCGGCAGGTTGCTCTTAGAACTGATGTCAAAACTGCTATTCATAAACAAGTGCTTCTAGATAACACTATCGCTTCCCTCGATAGAAGAGTTGCTACTATTGAAGGCGAGATTTCATCCGTCACCTCGATCAAAAAAAAGGTTGCCGATTTGAGCAGGATCGTTAATGACCAGGCAGCCGCTACGTCTTCCTTGGTATCTCGTCTGGATGACACTGAAAATCGCTCACGGTGGTGTAAACTTATATTTTATGGTTTACCAGGTACTGCGGGTGAAACCTGGTTAAACTCGGAACGTAAGGCTGTTAGTCGTGTTAATGAACATCTCGGCATTACTTTTGATGACTCCCACTTTGAGCGCGCCCATAGGATAGGTACGTTCAATGCAAATAAGAGTAGGCTGCTTATTGCAAAAACGGTTAAAGTACAGGCAAGCTGGTGGATATTTACCATGTTGGAACTTAACCCGAGACTGGGGTAGAAAGAGAAACTTAAAAGTAGAAGGGACAGAGACAAGTGAAGAAGAGAACGTCTCTTCTTTACTTGTCTCTGTCCCTTCTACTGCTTATTGTAGAAGGGACAGAGACAAGTGAAGAAGAGACGTTCTCTTCTTCACTTGTCTCTGTCCCTTCTACTGCTTATTGTCATGTTTTTTTATTTAAAAAGAAAAATCAATTCCTTCGGAGCGCATTTAAATTTAAGGGCTCACCGTTTTCCCTGTGTGAAGACTTTTTTGTGACGATGCGAGCAGCCCCTACCCGGCTCCTTGCGTTTGCGAAATTCCGATCGCAACCGTACAAATTACGCTATGAAAAGCTGCACATTGGTGATAGGACTTTAATTTACGACCCCGAAACTACATCTGTTAAAGGGACCATGAAGGGAATTTAATTTTTTTTAAAAAGGAGGTGTTTTCGGAAGCATTGGGGTCCTGGCATGCCACACAATTTTTTCTAGAACGTTGTGACTCCTATTTCTGCACCTGCAAATAAATTTATGAAACCGAAACAAACATTCAGATTTCTTCCCTTTCTCGCGTCTGAAAAGAGACGTGACGTCAGGGAGCACTGTCTGCATCGGTAGGATTTAGTGCACACTCAGTGTGGTTCCCGTGGTTCGCTCTAGTGCACCGCGGTCTGTGAAGAAAGCCTGGAAGAAATGGACGACAACGCCGCGCTCGCAAACGAGTTTGAGCTCCCGTTCAGCGACCTCACGCCGACTGAACGGGAGATGCTGCTAAGGACGCAGAACTGGATTGGCGCTTTACGAGGGCGCCCCAGACCTACCACCAACTCCTCGGTCGCCGCCTAAGAGCGACTCCCCGCCCCAATTTTACCCAGACTCCGGCTGACGTGAAGGTGCTGCTCAAAGTCTTCTGGTCGGAAATGCAAAGAAACAAATCCTGACACCGCTGTCCACAGCTATACGCAAGAAGACGGCACGCAACCAAATGCTGCGCATTGCTGCATCGGTCGGCAGTTTATGCAAACTAACGTCGCCCGATCGACTGCACGCCTTTAGCCGACCTTTCGCGCAACCTACTACTGCACATAAACGCGGCATGATTGGTGAGACACCAGTTCGCGAAGCGAACAGGAGACGACGCACGAAACCAAAACCAAAAGTCCGCCGCCCCCAGCGCTCGTACCTTTTTCTTTTTTTGTCCATGGTTGCTCGATGCTTTTTACGCGCTCGAGGTAGCAGTGCGGGATGCGTTCGACCAGTGACAAACGGAGTTAGGGATCGCTTCAGATTATGCTTTTATACACGGTATGAAACCTATTAATTCCCAACTACAACTTCAAAAGATTATCCAACGTTCAAATAAAAAATTTTCATCACATCTCACCACCGAAATCGAAACCAAGAGCGCGTCTATCGTTTGAACCAATCGCCAGACCAGGTGCCTGTTGTCGTCACGCTTCGGCGCACTTTAGTTCACTTTTCTGCCGCCGCCTCGGTGGGGTCTCATGCATCGTTCCCGGCGCTATTATTACCGCGCCTGTTTGCTCGATTGGTGCGGCGCCCAAACTTCTGTTCGGGCTAGAACTTGGTCAACAGTATCTGAGACGTGCCTGACATCCATTTCAATCGTCGAATAAAACTTCGAAACTGCCTTCATGGTCCCTTTAAAGACCTTACTAGTTAGGATTGCGCGGGTAGTGCTAGTTCGGCTGACTCTTTAACGACGAACATCACTGAATTTGTGTTTTTCATAAAAAATACTGCAAGTGCTCGCGTCCCTTGCTCTGTAACAGCAAAATCCACGATCATCAGTGTCCTTTATGCAAATGGTAGAAGTATTCTGCCAAAGCAAGATTATTTGTGTTCTTTAATCATCTCAAGTGAAGCAAGTCTTATTTTGATATCGGAAATATGGCTTTCTCCTGATATAATTGACCGTGAAATTATAAACTATAATCATGACTTTAACATTTATCATTGTGACAGGACAGGCCTGCGTGGCGGTGGTGTCCTTATCAGTGTTGAGAAAGACATTCCAAGCCAGCTTATCTCAGTATCAAGTGTGCTGAAATCCGTTTTGGTGTGTTTAGCGTTTCCCTTTAAAAGAATATTGATAGGAGTTTACTATCGCCACCCTGACGCACGGCCGTCTTTTACCGATTGCTTACAAGAGGACTTATCGGTCTTGTATTCCTCCTATCCTAATTGCCCCAAGGTTATCGTCGGGGATTTTAACTTCCCCAGTACACATTGGAGCGGTACTTCGCCAAGTGCTGTTGGAGGCAGGCGCCCGTGTATTTCTAGATGTGTGCTCAATGTGTAACCTCGCTCAGCTGGTACATTTCGCGACTACAGTTGTAGGCAATTGTTTCTGATATTCCTGCATTGGTTCGTTCAATCTTCTGCCTAGAAGGGTTAAGCGAACACAAAACATTACACTGTTTTCTCGATGTTCAACCCACAAGTGTGCGAGTGTTGTCAGAACAAATACGTTTGTAAAAAAAGGCCGATTTTGATTCAATTGTGGCGTCTCTATCAGATTACTTTCCAATCTTTAATGAGAATTTTGATTCGAAAAATGTTAATGACAATTGGTGTTTATTTCGTGAAAAGTTGCAAGACCTTCTAAAGGTCTACGTTCCTTACGCTGTGATGAAATATAATGTCTCGAGCCCATGGTTTACTCGTTCGCCCCGTTTTCTTTTTAATCGAAAGATACGACTCTTTCGTACAACCAGATCTGTCAACGCGCCTGAATCTTGGTTTCGATACAATGATTGCGCCAGTAAGCATAAAATTGAGCTACGTGAGCGTAAACATATGTTCCTTTTTGGTGCACTAGTAGTGTATTATGATACACGATCGAGCCGGAAGTAAACAAGGGGGCTGTTTATTAAGGGGGCGGAGTCAGCCTCGACCAATCACAGAGCCGCAGGGCGGGCCTCTTCCCTCTCTCCCATCCCAGGGACCAATTACAGGGCATGGGTGTTGGCCAGAGTAGTAGTAAAGTGTAAACGATCATCCCAATAATCAATCAATACGAAAACATATGTTTCCGATATCGACATGTTCCCGATATGTTTCCGATATCGGGGTGTCCGGCTTCTGACATCGATACTATCTATGGAATTGATATGCCGGTCATCAAACCTATCTATTGGGATATCTAATTGGCTAACTGCGTGTTTCCGATATCGATGTGTTTCCGATATCGGGGTGTCCGGTTTCTGACATCGATACTATCTGCAATCGATATGCGGGTGTCTATTTCTCACATCGATCCTATCTAATCGGATATCTAAATGGCTAACTGCACGCCCGCCGCTGGGTCTGACGTAGGAGTCGCGACCGGCCATTAGCCAATCCTATCCTAACCAACTGCATGGCACAGATCGTCTATCGGCCGATTATCGATCGATAATAAATTTATTGATTGATTATCGATTATCGAAAATCAAAAACTTTTTAGATATCAGAAACGGATGTTTCTGATATCTAAAAAAACGGATGTTTCTGATATCTAAAAAAGTTTTTGATTTTCGATAATCGATAATCAATCAATCAATTTATTATCGATCGATCATCGGCCGATAGACGATCAGTGCCATGCAGTTGTCATGTGCCAACTTTTAATTACTCCGAAAAAGGCTTTTAAAATACTTTCGGCTGGGCCGGTTTCGAATCAGCGACCTTTCGTTCAGTAGCCCGACGCGGCACCTCTGCGCCACAAAGGGAAGTGAATATTTCATACTTAGACTTTGTGTGCAATCGTGGGTAGTGCTAGGGTTCGCCGCTCTGTTACGCTCTGTCAAGTTCAGTTTATAGTTGGTGATGCCTCCACAAGGTGGCGCTTGAGGTCGCCATCGCCACACCAATCAGCGTACTCCCCGCCTACCTTGTTGACTCGTGGGAAAGTGTGGGGACACGCCGCTGGATGGCGCCGTGTGCAGTGTGGTTGGTGATATTCCCACAAGATGTCGCGAGTCGTGCGGCTGATCTTATCGGTGACCTTCAATCTGTTGACAGGTTCGTAAGGCGTCGTATGACCCAGGCAACGAACTCTCTATGTCATTCGTGTGGTGAAGATCGAGCTGTCGAGATGTTTGCGAGCGGACGTCTGACTAGTTGCACGGGAGAACACACTCGCTGGAGCGAGATAGAAGTCTGCACTGGAGACTGTAAGACAAACTGTTGTGTGTCGGCCAGAAGCGAGGAACAAGCAGGTTTCCAAAGGCGAAAGGACAGGTTTATTCCACCATGCTCATGGATGGGGGGGTAACTGAGCAAAAGAAGGCGGTAGCCAGCGGAGCACCGCTTTTTATCATTTAGTGGCGCGTGCGCCGTACTACGATATTCTGTTATCGGCGGCGCGCGCCCAGACATGACATTTCCTCCCTCTTTATTTTGACACGCTCAAAAAGGTTAAGATCCGGCTTGAAATCTTTCGGGAGGTTTCCGGGTTTTTGCCGGATACCGTCGGGCAGCAGGCGCTTGTGCTGCTTCGGCTGGGACAGTTCCGCCAGTAGGTGACGAGGACGATGGTTGGGTTGCGTTGTCGCTCGGTTGAACCAACAGGAACTCTGTGCCTTCCTGGTCAGCGTCCTCGTCGGCAAGGCTTGGAGTTCTTAGCAGCTGGTCCTTGTGCCGACGCCAGGTGAAGCTGCCTGTGGAGGTGGTGGCGCGTACTTGATAGGAAACAGGGCCATGCTGCGCAAGAATCACTCCAGGCACCCACTTGGGTTTGCCACAGTAGTTACGGATGAGCACATGATCACCAACGGCAAAGTCACGATCGTGCCCACGCCGGCTTGCAGTTTGCATGAACTGTTTGTGGGCTACCCTTTCCCCCACAGAAGGCTTTACAACGTCTAGGCGACTGCGCAAACGTTGTCCCAAAAACAAATTGGCGGGTGACTCGTTCGTTGTGGCGTGAGCCGTGTTGCGGTAGCTCTGCAGAAACATCTGCAACTTCACATGCAAAGGCGCACTCTCTTTGTTTTTACGGATGGCGTTCTTGAGGGTCTGTACAAAGCGTTCGGCTAAACCATTTGAACTTGGATGGTAGGGAGCTGTCAGGACGTGACGAGAGCCAATTTCCTGTGTGAACTGTTTAAACTCCCGTGACGTGAACTGAGGACCATTGTCTGACACGATAGTTTCAGGGTTGCCAAAACGAGAAAAAAGTTCTCTCAAAGTGTTAACTGTGCTCTCCGTCGTGGTTGAGCGCATCATGAATACTTCTGGCCACTTGGAGTGGGCATCTACCACAACAAGGAACATAGACTGAAGAAAAGGTCCAGCAAAGTCTATGTGAACACGTTGCCACGGCGTTGTGGGCCATGACCACGGGTGCAGGGGTGCCTTGGCAGGCGCACTACGCTGCTCTTGATAACTTATGCAGTTTTTTACGCTGCGCTCCAGGTCCGCCTCGATGCCCGGCCACCAAACGTAACTGCGCGCGAGCTCCTTGCTGCGCACAATACCCGGATGGCCCTCGTGAAGTTCATCCAGCAGCAGGGATTGCAGTTTTCCTGGGACGACAACTCGCATTCCGTGCATGATGCAGCCCTAATGAATGGTCAACTCGTTGCGTCTGTCGAAGAAAGGCTTTAGTTTCTTGTCAGAGACAGACACGGGCCAACCTGCGCTTGTGAATTCTTTCACTTGGCACAAAACTGGATCTCGCGCTGTTGCACGTGCTATATCACTACTAGATACCGGCAGTGATTGCAATCGCAATGAGTAGAATGATTCCTCGTTTTCTTTAGTCTCGTTTCCAACAGTCGGTAGTGGAAGACGCGAGCAAAAATCTGCTTCGGCATTCTCACTTGATCTCTTGAAGATACGATCGTAGGTGTAGGCCGACAATGCAACTGCCCAACGCTGCAATCGCGCAGCGGCAATGGTTGGAATTCCAGTTTTCGAACCTAAAATGGTCTGGAGTGGTTTGTGGTCCGTGACCAAAGTGAAGAGCCGACCATAAAGATACGAGTGGAATTTCTTAACTCCAAAAATAATGGCTAGTGCCTCTTTTTCGAGCTGACTGTACCCTTTTTCAGCGTTCGATAGCGTACGCGAAGCGTAAGCGATGGGTTTAGCGCTGCAATCTGAGTAAACGTGAAAAATTACAGTACCTACCCCGTACTGAGAGGCGTCACACGCTAGCTTTAGCGGTTTGTCGGGGTCGTAGTGTGCCAAGGTGGGAGGCGACGCCAGCTCGGCCTTGATGGTGTTGAAGGCTTCCTGGCAAAGCTGGTCCCAACACCATGGCTCGTCCTTGCGCAACAATCTGTAAAACGGTTGGGCTGTCGTTGCAAGACGGGGCACGAACTTGGCGTAGTAATTGACGACACCCGAAAAAGACTGGAGCTGCTGCTTTGTCTTGGGCTCGGGAGCCTGGAGCACCGCCTCCACCTTGTCAGACGACGTCGAGATGCCGTCAGCGCTGATCCTGTGACCTAGATAGCGAAGTTCGGGCTGAAAAAACGAACATTTTTCTTTCTTGACTCGAACCCCTCGTTCAAGCAGACGCTTCAACGCTGCTTCAAGGTTGGCCATGTGTTCTTCCGTAGTTTTGCCCGTGACTAAAATGTCATCTAGATAACAACAAACGCCGCTCAAACCTTTCAGCATGGTGTCCATTATTCTTTGAGAAATTCCGGGTGCTGACGAGATTCCAAAAGGAAGTCTGTTTACAATGAACAGCCCCTTGTGCGTGTCCAGCGTGAGGTAGCGTTTTGACGACTCTGACATCACCACCTGCTGATGAGCTCGGTTAAGATCTATCTTCGAAAAGAGTTCGCCTCCTGATAGAGCCGCGAATAGATCATCAACTTTTAGAAGTGGATAACGGTCAATATCAAGACAAGGGTTGACAGTGGTCTTATAATCGCCGCAAAGACGAATGCCCCCGTCCTTTTTGATAACCGGCACGACAGGCGTGGCGTATTCTGCTGTAGTCACCGGAGTGATAATGCCCATCTTTTCCATTTTTGACAACTCCGCCTCAACAGCCGTTTGCAACGCGAACGGAACGTTTTTCGCTTTTAGAAATTTCGGTTTCTCGTTCGGTTTGAAGAAAAGTTCTGCTCGTTCTTCAGTTATAGTTCCGAGCTCATCGTTGAACAGTGGCTCGTACTTTGACAGCAAAGAGTCAAGCTTCTGTTTTATACGTTTAGAAGCAAAAACGTCTGACCTTGAGATGTGATTCAGCTCCCAGATCTTGTTCTAGTCGAGTCGTATCGTTCGAAGCCACTCCCGGCCCAGTAGTGGCGGCCCGGCTCCATCGACGACGTACAGTGGCAGCTGTACTGACGCCTCACCATGTTGCACATTGACTGTCGCAACGCCTTGAAGTCGAACCAGGGCCCCCGTGTAGGTGCGAAGCCTGACTACAGTTGGCGTCAGTTTCACAGACGGAAAAGACTGGTGAAACTGTTTAGCAGACATTACAGTTACCGCTGCTCCTGTGTCTAGTTCCATTTCAACCGCAGATCCGTTGATCACCATCTGCACCGTCACTGGGGTAAGGCTGGGCGAGGACACGCCATGTACGATGGCGAGTCTTTCTTCAACTTCCAACGTTTTTACCCTTTTTCCTGGCGGACGTTTCTTGCCCCCTACGTCAGCCCCGCTTCGACAAACCCTTTGGATGTAACCTTTCTTGCCGCACTTGTGGCATACGCTCTGCCGATGAGGGCACTCTTGACTGCGGTGCCGTGACGACCCGCAGCGATAGCAGCTGTCCCTCTGCTTCTCATTCCCTGCTTGCATCTTGTGCACGTCAGTGACGTTTGAGTTGCCGACGCGAGCCTTAGCCGCGCTTTGCTTCGCAGCTTCCATGGCTTGGGCGCGTTCCACTGCTTTCTGGAACGTTAGCTTGCTGTCTTCCGTGAACAGCGCGCGCTGTATGTCCTCCCTTAATAATCCGCACACGAAGCGGTCGCTGAGTGACTCGTCCAAAACGCTTCCATAGTCGCACGTTTGCGACAGTTTTTGAAGTTCGGCGACGTACTCGGAAATAGACTCGCCTTCATGTTGCGCTCTCCGGTGAAACTTGGCTCGCTCACCGATGATGGACGACTTGGGTGACAGGTGGTCGCCGAGGGCCTTCTTGAGGTACTCGAAGCTCTTCGTTGAAGGCAGCTCCGGAGCAGTCAGGGACTTCAGTAGCGCGTAGGTCTTCGGACCGATGATGCTGAGGAAGGCGTGAACTTTGTCGCTCTCTGGAACTCCGTTCACGATCAGGAACGACGTTAACCTTTCGTCGTAAGAAGCCCAGTCGCTGGAAGACTCGTCGAACGGTTCCAGATAACCAGTTCGACCGGCGAAGTGCGTCCCGGTTTCTTCGCTCATGATGGCTGTCGATGCTACGTCCGCCCCTGCGGAAACACCTGCTTTTCTCGGCCGACGGTCCTTATCCCATCCTCGTCGCCAGTTGTTGTGTGTCGGCCAGAAGCGAGGAACAAGCAGGTTTCCAAAGGTGAAAGGACAGGTTTATTCCACCATGCTCATGAAGGGGGGTAACTGAGCAAAAGAAGGCGGTAGCCAGCGGAGCACCGCTTTTTATCATTTAGTGGCGCATGCGCCGTACTACGATATTTTGTTATCGGCGGCACGCGCCCAGACATGACACAAACAACGACTTCTTTGTGACTGCACTGGAACTGCTCATCGACCTGATTTTGTTCGGAAAGTTCCCTCCCTACGAAGTGGACCCAGTTGTGTTCCGTGTAGTGTCCCGCGTGTACGAGCACTACGAGGGAAAGGACAAGGAGTGGCCATCACACGAGGGTCCTTTCACATTCTTGTCGGGATGGGTGAGCAAGGTGATGTCAAAAGTGAGCGAAGCGGAAACCACGGACGTGGTGGAGTTCCTCTCGGACACGGTGCATACCATCAAGCGGTCAGTGCGGTGCAAGTATCACATCGAAGCAACCTACGTGCATCGGCTGGCCGCAGATGTGTTTCGATACAGGCTGGTCACTGCGGATAGTGTGGACTCGTGGAAATAAATTACCATCTTAATTTATTTGTCTTTCATTTTGTCCGATAGAAAAGATCGGGCATCGCTGTCGGTCCGGTCAGTCTGGTGTTGACCGAGTGCACGATCGGTCTTTAGAATGAGCGATCAATTTTATGTGAACCTTTTCTCCAATGCCTCCAGTGAAATATTTCACGATAATACTTTAAGTAAGTTTAAGGTACAGCTGTCCCAACCTATCTTTTTAAATGAGTCGTATGAGGTCGCCCTAGAGGAATTAAATTTTTCATTTAGCATCAAGAATGTGACGAGGCCATCTAACGAGATCTATTTGGTCAGACCAACGGACGCTGGGCAAGTGGAATCCAGCAAAAAGATTCGAATCCCTGCAAAACAAGACGTCCTCTCGTTGTTGAGAAGTGGGCTGAGAGAATTGTTCGGCCCAAAGCGAGCCTCGATCGAAAAGAAAGCTTTTATTCCATAACCTTCCAGAGAAACAACGCTTTGCACATCTCGTCTCTCTTAGCCAAAAAACTTGGCTTTTCAGAGCAAATATTTGGTATAGGTCAGTCTATGGAAGGCCGCCCCGTAGAGGAATTGACGTTCGATAAAGAGGTTGAGATAGAGCTGACAAGAGTTAAATACGTCATAACACAGGACCGTATTGAGATCCTCGAGGGCTTCTACGAATCGGCAGAACACCTCATTGATGCGATAAACAGTGCGTACCAATCTACACTCAAACTCAATCCCTCAAAAATGCTGCTTCGTCATAGCCCCTACATAAAACTCGTAGCGTTGCAGTTGCATCACAATGGATATATATTGATCAATCAGCACTTGTCACACATGCTCGGATTTGGTGAAAAGACCGTGGTAGATCGTGAAGTCATATTATATCCAAATAATTACATTTTTACGTATTGCAATATCATAGAAGCGGAACACGTTGGTGATGTGAAAGCCCCTCTTTTGAGAGTCG